AAAAAAAAAAAACATCAAAGTGCACACTGGGAAAATCTACATAATAAAGATCACATTTCAAATTAAAGCAACTCCCAATAAGACATGTACTCTGGTTTTCTACTCTTTTCTAGCTTAAAACAGTTTCAGACCCTTCAAAATGCAGTCACGCCATGTACCAGTAATCCTTCATAAGTGTAAGGGTAGGGAATTTAAATGCCTGCATTAGGAAAATATAAGAGTTTAACAAATTGAGAACTGTGCCTGGCAAACAATGCTGAAGCAAAGGTCCACATTTTCTGACTGCACTACACTTTGTTTCCAATAATTTTCACATGGCGCATGAGAATAAAAACAGGTAGTTTACAGGACTTAAATTGGTGACAGGCATTATTTTTTTTCTCTTTTTTGGCAGGGCTCCTCAGGTGCTAATAAATTCCAACCAGGAAAACAAATAGCTTTACTTAAACTAGGAGACAAAACACTGCATCCTGTGAATTTTTCAACTGAAACATTTTGCTTGGCAAAAGCTGGGCTGCTTTGAAAGGCCCATAAGAGAACTACAGCCCCCCCCCCCCCCCCCACACACACACACACACAAACACTTATTGCCAATTTGTGATTTGAAGTGGACAATTACTGACTTAGATCGGAAGATTAAATCAGTTCAAATTCATCATTTTGCTGCCAACTGCATTACATTTATAAGGCTTGAACATTGCCAGTACATGCATGCCCTGTTGTCAGCCCAGAGCCAGAACTACAACATAGCCCATGTCTTTATAAACCAATCTGAAAACAGATTTAGATACAGCTGTTAAACCAATCCACTACAGGAAACTAAAGCACAAAGCTGTTGTTTTTATACTGAATCCATGGAGAAAATGGCCATAATAAAATGCAACCTACATTCTTTTAGCTCCTGTAACATACATATGTAAGACATTACACTGGGTATACGTAGTGGCTGGTGTTATAAATCCCCAGTACCAATCTCATGAACCATATCAAAGTTCCCAAATATGCTTGAAGAAAGTACAGCCAAATTGGTGAATTAATAAACAAATTTGATATGGCTAATTAATCATTGGTTTGTCGAAGAATTAATTGTTTGGCTGAAGTAGAAAATGGCACACATGCACTGTTCTTCTATCAAAGGGGCCCAATACATACTTGTTTTAAAGCAGTCTACTCTTGATTTAACTAAACTCAAAGTAGAAACAATTTAAAATGACTTAAGTTAAGACTATCACTACTAGTAAGTTCTTTTATGGGGTCAGGCCCAGGACAAATGCAATTATCATTCAAGTTGTTAATGAACTGGTAGTGAATGCCTTCACTCAGCTGCATGCTCCATTCTATGTGAAGCATGATAGTTTAACACCTGACAATGTCCTGAGGCTATCCTGTAGAAGAGATGTAAATTACAACCCCTGTGTCACAAACCCTACTTCAGTCTACAGCTGATCACATCTTTAAGACTGAAAATCATTATATAAAGTACTGTACTAGTAATCTAACTCTGTGTAAGCCTGTAGTGGACTTATATAGTAACTACTATTAATCCCACACATTTAAGACTATTAAGGCTTATTTCGAAGTAATGTGTTTCTATAAAGAGAGAGACCGGTCTGAAAATAACTGCCAATATTCATTAAATTCTCTCTCTCCTCTCTATAATCCTCATCTTTTTGTGTCCTTAATGACCCGTCTCTGAAGCAGCTGTTCCATTCAAATGTGGCCCTGGTTTCTGTGCTCAAGGCTTTCTGAGACGCGTTCACTCCAGAATCAACTTTGACCTTAGACCAGAACTTGACTTACTGATGTCATCATGATGATAATATACTTCACTGAACAAAGGGAACAGTGTTTGAAAACCCATTTTACTTTTTTCTCAGGGCAGGTGCTTGAACAACATCATAATATTCACCTTCCAAATGGTGTACGTAAGTTGCCTGTGTTATAATAAGCTTCAGTGCATTTCATGCTCTTCTTCATAAAGAGAACACAACTACCCCACCTAGATAATTACACTCAGGTACACTTCAGACAGCTGATAACTAGTATGCTAGTATTCTACACTAGAAATTTATAATTAATACTATACATAATGATATAATAATATCTGTACTAATTTTAGTGAAATGGTTTTCATGTATCTGTGGTACAGAGTAAAGCTCAAAACTGTTTACTAGTATTGATTTCACCTCCACATGTGAGGTACAATCACAAATTTCTTGATTAAAGTATTGATTTAGAAAAATCCATACTAGTACTAGTAGCAATACCCCAAAATAAAGTGTTAATATTTCTCTGAAACAATAGCAATGTCTTTCTTGCTATTAAACAATCTGCAAATCATTTTCATTCAAGTCAATTGCACTACCAACAAAATATCTCAGGTTAAAGAAGACTAAAATTTAGGTCTTTAAGACTAGTCCGAGGGTCA